TCACTAGTGTCTTTAAAATATTTATACAAAAAATAATTAAAACATATTTAACGATATAGCCAATCTTAATTAGGATACATGACTAAAAGTGGTGAACAGATGAAGTAATAATTAATCATAATATCACATAATCAAATTAATTTTGTTCTCGTACCTTCTCATGTCCCCTAAACTTTAGCAAAAAAAATATTTAATACTTTCCTTTTATTTATCCTACACACACATCATTTAATTTATATAATAATAAAATAAAATATGGCGTATCATTTCCATTTATATGTCTCCTATATTTTTTTTTGACAGATGTCTTCTATATATTTTCTTATACAATTATAAAAATTAAGAAAATTTAAATTAACGTACGTAAAAAATTAATAAGTGTAATTTTATTAAGTTTAAGAAACGCGAATGTATTTGACCCTATATTTATAAAAGTTGAAATAGTAATAACTACACATTGTACTGGTAACAGTCTAAAGTTGATTTTTTTTATAAAGATAAAAAAATTACAAAAATAATTGTAATAATAAAGATTTAACCTATATTTTTATGCTTTAAACCCGTCTAAAATTGATTACATAAATTGTAAAATGAGGGTGGATTGAGGTAAATAGTAAAAAAGGATAAAATAAATAAATACACAATAAGTGGTGTTATGAAAAAAATAAAATAGAACAAATAAAAGAGAATGCACAATTATTTATAATTGTTTTCTGAAATTTCAGTCAAATGAAATGTCATTATTTTGCAAATTTGTATTTATTTAAACATATTTAAAAATTTACAATAATTTATTCATCACATTTAATTAATTTCAACTAGATAGACTATGATCATTGTTTTATTATTATTATTATTATTATTATTATTTATTTATTTATTGATACTTTGGTCATTGTTTAGCAATAGTAGTGAAATTGCAATTTAATTTTTGAATAAGAAAGAATACATCATAGAGAATTCTATTTATGAACAGTAAACAAAGCTAGCAAGTAAACTTGACGTATTAATAAATTTTAAAACATAAAGTAAATAGTTTTTTCACTTATATACTATACCTAACTCTTAGCGTGACTCTCGTTCACATGAACTTGGAGAAATAGTTGGTTCTTTCCGGAAGCTTTTATTTCAGTATAATCAACCCATGACTAGAGAAGAAGCTGTGGCCACAAACTAAAATTTGGTGCACGTACATCCGAAAGTGCATTAGACAGACATTAGTCAGATGATTCTGATCTGACAAGAGAGCAGCTTCCCGAAGGGCGGGGACATATAAATTAACAAGGTCGTTAGCCCTTATTCAAATATAAATAATAAATAAAATAAACCAAAAACCACGCACTTCAACCACCCTCCGCAGAAACAACCGAGTGCGCTTAGGTAATCACCACTTTTTCCAATTACTCCAATAAACAATATTTTCCATTTATATTTATATATATACACATTAGAATTTTATATAACAAATCTTATTAAAAAAAGAAGCAAAAATGTAATGCGTGTTCGAAGTCAATACTCCACGCACATGATTAATGTATTACACAATTAATTAACTTAATGTCAAGAAAATCTCCTTTTTCTATCTAATTGTTATGGGGATTGTTATCCTTACAATGTGTAGATCTTTATCTTTAATGGTAATCATATTTTCAAAAAACATAGTTTTACAATTAAAAATTAATTCACTGAAAATATGTTTGGATTATAGAATATAGATGGAGGAAAATGAAGAGAAATTAATTAATTTTTAAATTAAGAGCTATAAAATGTTTTCAAACATAAAAATAATAAAAATTTAAGTTTGATTCTCATAGTGGTTATTGTAATTTTTTACTGATAAAAAAATAAAAATAAATAATTGAATATTGCATGATAACATGTTTATTTCATTTCTTTCATTAAACTTTAAGTCAAAATTAAAAACACTCTACTTTCCTTTTCTTTAAACAATTTAATTAAAATATATTGATAGTTTAAATATATTTTATATTATCATTCAATCATAAAATATTAGTTCATCAAAACTTAAGTCGATCTTCTTCAAATCCCTCCATACATACAAACATACCCTTGAGAACCAAAACTTAACTGAAACATTTGTAATGCTTTACACGTACACATTACTGTATAGATTTTAATAGTACTAGTATTTCTTTACACGGCTGTGCTGAATGGACGCTATTTTGCTTCAAAGTCTGTCCTACGCGGATTATTCTATGGCGGCTAGCCTTGGCATGCATTAATATTTCTGATGCCCAATTAAGTAAGAGCCTTATAAGCAGAGTGAAAATGAAATGAAGAGCTTGAGTTTGTGCGGTGAAGTCATGACATAGATGAAAAAGCATCAAATTGAATCAAGCCGAAGAGGAAAGCGCACCAAACAAATGAAAGGTGAAATAATATCCCATCAAACTTGACCTAAAAGTGGTAACTAAATAAATATTAATGGATGAACCCATTCATATTGCGCGAGTTAATTAGCTGTTTGATTATTTTTTTAGTGCATGTCCACAAATAAAAGCAAATAGTATATTATTTGAGTAGGATTATTTACACTGCTATTAAAGCACGATAATGTAAAATGGGTTAATAGGGGTGAAAGGAAAATGACATTATGCAAAAAGTTTTTCAAGATATGTCAGGGTGCATTATTAATTTAACTCATTCTCTCTTCTTGTCCCACTCAGAGTACCACGAGATATAATATCTCTTGAACTTAAATTTGAAAGAATTGTTGACCTATAATAAATTGATTTACAGACTATATAAACAAATTTAATTAATAGTAGTATCTGGAATAAGCCATATATAACATTACGTAAGAATATAGAATTTATGACACAATGTTAAAAAAGAGTCATATGTATGGTGGTTTAGGGCTTGCACAAATGAAGTCCTCCTTTACGTCTATTACCATGTTCAAGAAGGAATTATTACCTGAATCACCGATCATGGATATCATATAATTAATGGTTGAAAGAAGAATACAAAAGTGGAAGCGAAAAAACCAAGAATACTTTGTCTTCTATGAAAACAAAAAGAAGAGAAGCAACTCATAAATTTTTGTACAATAAAAAGATAAATAAAAAATATATGACGTAATAAATGATTGATGTGATAAAAAATTTAAAAAAAATTATTATTTGAATATATTATGATTCTGAGTACTCCCATTACATCAGCCAAAAGAATCTTTTCTTTATTTTATTTAAACTGCTAAAATGGTTTAAGAATTAAGATCATTAGGTTTATAGTGTTTGGTGCAAATTCAAACTTGGGTTCTACCTACGGGTGGCTCACCGTACGTATGTGTATGCATGGTGACATGGTGCGCATCCCAATTGTCCGAAGTGGCCAACGAGTTTTCCACTTAGTCAAGTGGCTACTGTCAATTTTTCCACAAACTATGTTTGTGCACTCTCACCTCTGATACTGCTTACGACTCGCATTTGGTCGCTTCTTAATGTTGCATTGCACTATTAGCATTACTATTACCTCCTCAATATACCTCTATTTTCGTCCTCTCTTCAATTCCTTTTGGCCCTTACTTTGGTACCAAACCATTACCTTTCCAACTAATTAATTAATTAATTATCAATCTTCACGTCCATTTCTACAGGTCAGACTCAGAATCCATTATCTTTTTCTGTGAATTTGGTGGTGAACATGTTTTGGCCTCGAAGACCTGTGAATTTAAGTAGGCCATGCCATAGTATATTCAGTTTCTTGAATTCTCCTTCCTCATCATAATTTAGATGCAGATGCTGGATTCCTTATTCTGTTCCGAGTTGAAACAAAGATTGACTCTACTGCACAATTCATTTTATTTTTTTGGTTATATACACTTATACTAAGAGTCTAATTAAAAATGTTTTTTAACCGGTAATCCGAACTAATTCCTCCTTAGAGTATAATCACACGATCAGGATCCTGTACCTAAAATTCTTTTTTATCTTAGGCTGTACTTTGGTGATGTACTTAACCGTATGCTACAGTCAAACGTCACTTTTTCTTTCACAGAATGAATATGACATCAGTGATCATAATGATGAAAATAGTTCAAGACAAACCCCTCAAACCCTGTGTTTCACATATATTTATTTTTGTAATTTTTCCGACCACCAACACTAATCATTATACCATGTAGAGAAAGTATTATTACAGTGCAGAAGTTATATTGTTTTCATAACCAGAAATCTAATTCAGTTCAGTTCACTTAAGTCAATACGAGTTTATGATCAGTAGTGACAGATTTGATAACCTGTAAAGAAGTCAAAATTTGTTAATTTATTTTGCTGTCTCCATTTATTGTAAAATGAGTTTTGCAGTTTTATGGTTACAATACCAATTTTTTCAAAATTCAATGTTTGGATTAACTTACTTCAAGGGAAATAATTATTTATTTTTAAAAAATTGTTTCTGTTTAAAGAAAGTTTGTGAAATAAAGAAAGAAGAGAAAAATATGAAATAAGATGAATGATACCATGGGGAAAAAAAAAGATAAAGAAAAAAAATGAATATATAAAAATGGATTATACGATGAAAAAAGACACAAAAACAAAAAAGATGAGTACATAAAAATTATTAACAAAAAAATAATTATAAGAATGTCATTAATCTTACAAATTAAATTACGTTTTGCACGCGATGCGAATTCGCTTTCACATGTAAAGTATGCAGTGTAAAGATATAAAAAATAAAAAGTGAACAATTATTTTTTTTCAACAAGAAATGGATGCACAAAACTGTACATAAAAACATGATTCATCTCTTAAAACTAAGATGTTAATTTAAATAAACAAATATAGATATATAAATATAATTCAGTATATATACACATGATAATCACATGTCTGACATGATTAGTCAGCAAACCGTGATTATCTGTCCTTTAAATCCTACTGCTGCAGGAACGTATAAAGTAGAAAGATAGTATTAAGCAACTTTTTCAAGTATTTATAAAATGATTAAATACATTGAGCGGTTGGGTATAAATATTAGGATGGCTAGCTTTGGCTTGGCAGTGAATTGCAGATAAACAAAATCAAGCACAAGCAATTTCACATCTCACTCTCACACGTAGGGATCAACAAGAATAAGATGGGAACGTGGTTCGCAAATGCAAAGCCGTATCTGCTGTTAGTGGCGGTTCAATTCGGTTCTGCTGGAATGTTCATTTTTGCCATGGATGCTATTAAGAAGGGAATGAGCCATTTCGTCTTCATCGTCTATCGTAATGCCATCGCCTCTATAACTCTCGCTCCCTTCGCATTTTTTCTAGAAAGGTCTCTTCACCTTAACTACCTTTCGTTCATTTGTAATAAACATTAATTTAACCATGCATGCGTATATAATATATGTTTTAAGTCAGTTCTGCGTGTGATATTTTCTCATCAAAAGTATAAATAAAGGTGACATATATCAAGCATATTCAACTCGACTAAAAGAAATATTTTTGCAGGAAAGTTAGGCCCAAGATGAGTTTCCGGGTATTTTCAGAGATTATGGCACTGGCTTTCTTCGAGTAAAAATTCTTATCTTACATTTATTTTATATATATATATATATATAACACGGTAGTTTTATTTTTTTTGGTACATATATATAACGGTAGTTTGTTATTATGTATTTAGTTCATATAGTTAATTAAATTATATGATGTTAATTGCATGCAGAATAATACTGGATCAGTGCTTCGCCCTCTTGGGCATGAAATTCACGTCGGCTTCTTTCCTATCTGCTGTCATGAACTCAGCACCCTCTGTTACTTTTGTGATGGCAGTCATTCTAGGGTAAGTAATAATCAATCAAACAAGAGTAATGATATAAGAATTTTTCTCTCTCTTCCACCATTGGGTCAGAGTATACATTGCGTTTAAATATTCAAAAGCTTTGCAGTCTTTTTCATTCAGACAAAATTGGTTTCAGTATACAATGTTTTAGTGTCTAAAATGAAAATATTTCTTTCTCATTCATCTTACTTCTTTTTTTATTTTTTATCTCTTTTTTCATCATACCATTTGTGATATGTATTAGTTTTTTTTTCTCCTTGTTTTTCTTTTCTACTTCTCTCCATTAACATTCATCATTTCTTATTATGGCATCATATAGCTTATTATCTCCCATTATGTCAAATATTGGCATCTAATTCTAATGCGACATTATTGATTAAAGAATGTTATTATTACCTACAAAAAAGGCTCCAAATGATGGTCCACCAAGGTATACTGGTTAGATATCGATCTAAACGCTTCTTTAAAAAGGTTTAATTAGGTAAAGTCCCACCGATGCTGATCCTGTTTGAAGAAAAAGAAAAAAAATTATTATTTTTAAATTAAGAAAATAACACAAAATTGATAAAAGCAAACATATTTTTAGGATATTAAATTTATTTTAATTTATCATCTTATTTGTTTTATTTTATAAATATCTAACTAAATATATTTATTATAATTAATATCAGTATTCATTTTTTCAAATTAATAAATTTCAATTTTCATACATACCCTTCAGATTTATAAGCACCACTTTAAAATTTAAATCATCTACGAAGTTTGATATGACGTAACCTTGTAATGGAGTGATGTCCTTTTTCATTAATTTTTATGAAGCATATTTTGCAAAAAGGAGACAGAAAAAAAAAAAAAAAAAAAAAAAAAAAACTTGAAAAGAAACTAATCGTAGGTCGCTTTCTATGTTTTTAGCACCAACTTAATTAGCATTAGACAACGCACTGCGCGTGCTCTTCTAATGTTTCAAGTTACCACTTCCTTGTCTGAAGCTGAAAAAATACTGTTTACCAAATCAAGTGTGAGGCAAGAATTTAGACCAAATAATCATTTTTAGCTACTTGCTAGATAATATCGAATTTTCTATTTCATATACCACGTGCATATATTTAAGAAAAATTAAAAAAAAATGTTAAAAACAGAATTCATTACATTAGGTACAAAAATAATTTATTATTATTATTTTTAATTTTTTGACACAACAATATATATAATCAATGCAAAAGATAAAATGCCTAAATTAGTATTTGTGAAATATAGAAAAGGTGTGAAATTATAGTGAGCAGTGACCATGAGAACACCGAGAGAATCAGCCACCATATATATATGTATATATATTTGGCTAATCTACGTACCATCGAAAACAAAATCACTAGTGCGCACACGTAAGAAAGACAAAACACAAATTTGGTGTTTGTTTTCTGGGGTAAGCGAGACAAATTAAGAATCATAAATATATAATTTAATTTATTATTATATTGAGCAGAATGGAGCGCATGAAGATTAAGGAGGTAGCATGTCAAGCGAAAGTGATTGGCACAGTAGTAACCTTTGGAGGCACTTTGCTAATGGCACTATACAAAGGCCCTGGGCTTAGTATTATGGGATCTTCAGCCAGCAATGCTAGCCAACCTCAGAATGTTAGCAACCCCACTGGCAACCACTGGGTCATTGGGACATGTTTCCTTCTCATTGGTTGTGCAGGCTTTTCTGCATTTTACATATTACAAGTAAGCATATATTGTTCCACCACCTTAATACCTACTAATTAAGTTTAAACATGTATTCATATCCTTATATATGTGTGTAATGTATGTAGGCCATAACATTGAGAAAATACCCAGCAGAGATGTCCCTCGCCACTTGGGTTTGCTTTTTTGGTGCAATTCAAAGCTCTGCTGTTGCAATCGTCGCCGAACGTCATCGCCCTCATGCCTGGTCCCTTGGTTGGGATACAAGACTCTTTGCTCCTGCTTACGCGGTCAGTGTTTTAGACCGGAATATATATACATATGCTAATAATCACTAACTAAAAATGTGTTTGGAAATATTTCTCAAACCTTCTCTACTAGAAATAGAAAATTTTAAAAGTTTCTAATTTATATTCAAATATATTTTAATAAAATAATTGCAAACATATTTAGACAAAGTTCTTTATAAGTATCTCTTTGAAAAAATAATATATAAAAAATTAAATTTAACCTATGCGTAAATTAATTTATAATTTTTCAAAAAAATATTGTAAGTTTCTATAAACTCATAAATGTAGATTAATATTTGATTATCAATTTTGAAACACCATAAATTATGTTCATGAACTCAAAAAATTAACTTATAAAAAAATTATTTTATTTTTTGTTAAATGTTTTTAAAGAACTTTATTTGGGTTGAAACTGGAAAGATAACGACTATACCCAAGTTGTACGTAGTATTTCACCTATATATGTTCACTTTTATTTAACCTTATGATAATTTATTATTACAGGGAATAGTTACATCTGGAGTTCAGTATTACATACAAGGCATGATCGTAAAATCTATGGGGCCAGTTATTGTGACTGCTTTTAACCCCCTTCGTATGATCATTGTTACGGGCTTGGCCTGTGTCATCCTCTCTGAACAACTCTACCTCGGAAGGTACTATAAATTACTAAGTTCAATATGTTCTCATCTTAATTCTCTTTATTGACCTCATTTGCCCTAACTTTGTGGTGAATTATACTGATATCAGCATTATTGGAGCAGTGGTTGTGGTTCTTGGGCTTTATGTAGTAGTGTGGGGAAAAGCTAAAGAACGCAAAGGCCAAATTCCAACGTCCCCGACAGAGGATAACTCTGAAGAAGACCAGCGACAGCTACCGGTCACAGCTCCCAAGAATGATAATAATAATTAATAAGGCTTAATTATAGTCCATAGCCATGATGAAGAAAATGATGTGGAAGGCACAATATCAAATGAGAAAGTCAGCAATCGGTTTTGTTTAATTTAATTAGACAATGGTGAAGCTAGCATTTCTGTACAACTGACCTAGGCCAATATCATGCACATTACTCATACCATGCAATTTGTGGGATAAGTGGCATGACGCTTGATGAAATTTATCATATAATTAATTAGTGCCCACTTTGAGCTGCATCATTGTTGTTGAGTTGAATGACCCAATGTGCTTCCGATTCGTCATATATGCTATTTACTCGGTTCTGAGCTAATTTTGCTATCATATTCAACTTTTATGTGGAACAGAAAGAGAAAAAAATAATAAAGTTAAAGGGAAGAATTGATAAATAAAAAAACAAAAAAAAAAAAAACATAATCTCTAAAAAAGTATTTTAAGTCAGTATACTGTTTAATTAGTGTCGGCAATAATGCCATAAATTTGATACTTCTTGTAGTACTCGTTAATGGGTAAACATACTCGAATGGACAAGTCTAAATTATCAAACTCAAAGTACTGATCATGGTACTCTCTCGAAGAAATTTAGATGTAGTCTGTAACACCCCCCCACCCTCCCCGCTTTTTTTTTTCTTTCGAAATATGAGTTATAATTATTAAAAAAATTATTTAAATTAAACAACCTATAATATCAAAATAATTGAAAATAAATAAAAGATAAATTTATTAATTACACAATAAATTCAAAAAGAGTGTTAAATATATAATAGAATCACATATTGCATTATTCAATGGAATCGTACCATTTTATGGGTCGGGATGTATATACTCACAATCACTTCCGAAATGTGGTATTATGAATCCACACTATTTTAGCGTCAAGTAAGTATGACCAGAATGAATTCTAGTTCTCACCTAGCTAGATTTTTACATGTCTAATGGTAAGTGCTCTTACCTTCATATTTAAGAGAGTTAGTGTCCTTTAAGTATAACTAAAACTAATTCTAGTTTCTCACATAAATTTTGGCATGTCTTAGGGTAAGTATCCTTATCTTCAGTATATATAAGTCGAGATTATTAAATCATCACTTCTTTATTTCTTTTTTATGCATGTACTTATTAGATATACGTGAAGATATCAATCAAGCATAGTGATCAGCTTGACTCAACAGTACCAAATAGTTAATAAAGGTTTGTGTATGATGTAACACAATATTACATATATACAATATTAAAAAGAATTGAATTAATAAGAATAATTAACTAATATACCAATATTAACTAGGTAGCATAAAATAAATATATAAGATGAGGTTAGGGATACCCTACCAAACAACTATAATTATATTTATTATTATTATTATTATTATTATTATTATTATTATTATTATTATTATTATTATTATTATTATTATTATTATTATTATTAACAAACGAAATGAACAAGGAATGTGAAGAAAAGACATGAGAACCACTACTTATTTATAGAACTTCATGCGTGATACAATTTTACTTGTTCAAGATTCTTTCATAATTTTTTTTTTTGCTAAAAACTTATTTTGGTCCCTTATAATAATTGTTTGTTTCAATTTAGTTTCACTTTTATTTTTTGTCTCAATTTGGTCCCTAATAAATTAATTGGTTGTAATGTCGGACTTCCGTCCAAATTATTTAAACGAAGTTAACTGTTGGCCACGTGAATGTTACGTAGATGCATATGTAAATGCCAAATTTCATTAATGGATCTAGAACCAGAACGACCCATTCTGAAACTAGAACGGTCCGTTCTAGTTGCACTATTAATGTGTTAATTTTGCACCTGGAACGGAACATCCTCTTGGTAATGGAAGTACACTTCAATAGGGGGCCTAAACCTCTACTACATGCCATTTTTCTAAGTGCAGTAATTCTTATCCGCTAAACCTCTACATCCCCTTATAAATTTTGAATGCAGTAATTATGTAATTGCATACATGACAAAAGGCAAACAATGATATTGTTTTGTCTTTGCTTGTGCTAAGAAACTTTCATAGGGGGGGCTAGAAACAAATTATATAATAAGTTGCATGATTACTAATAGTTGAATTTCGGAGCTTTTTTTTTTCTTCCCATGGCTTTCTGTTGATGTGTAATTATTTGATGAGTAATAGCAAAATTAAAAAAGTGTATACTTTATGGTATAAGTTTCCCAAGATAGAAATCATTGAATAAAAACATGTCCAGAAAAGATTGGTGGATCTTCCTTTTTTCTTTTTAACATTGAAGGATGTTAATTAAATGGCTCAAAAATAAAATCATTATGTTAATGGAGTGGTTAAATAATGTAGGCTTGCATACATGTTATGCTCAAGGGGAAAATTTTCTAGAAGGTTGAGGCTGTGAAGACTTTGAGTAAAAAGTATAATTAACAAATGAATATGTGTTTGAATATACTAATTGATATGAAATTAAGTATTTATAATTAATATGGACAAGATACCTTAATCTGCCATTACTTTTATCATCGCATGATAGTCATCACAAATTCTCATATTTTTAATCACTTGAAGAAGTTGTCTTGTAATTGTGTTGAGTAGTCCTATACTACTGTCAATTTCTCATTGTGCCCACACAATATTTGCTTATCTTGTTCCTCCGCATCTTGTAGCACAAGTATACTAACTTTCCTAAATAAAAAGAGGCTTATACTCCTAACTATAAAAATTAAGGCTATTTGAAATTTACAACATAAATTATCACAATTGATTACATAATAGAAACTAATCTTTTATATGCTTAATTAATCAATAACATTCTCACTATCAAATCTGAAAAGTTCTTGTCAAGTTCATAACAACTATTTTTAGTGAATTCTTGTAACTTTTTATGTTTTAATTGATTTGTACATAACTAGATTGTTTTGTAATCCAGTTTTTTCTTCCCCTGTCAAATCCATTTGTCTTTTTTATTATTATTTAGATTACCTATAAAAGCATTAAAATAGTTCCTTTATTACACGATGTTGAGTTTGACTAGATTGTCAAACTTAGTTTTATTAGAGTCAATTGTGATCTTATTTCAGCTATGGTAAAGAGATAGAAATTAAAAATACATATATTTCATATACCTTTTAGAGAATCTATTATTAATTTTCAAGATGTAGCATTACTTGTCGGATTCCATGTTGATAAAGAAGTAATTTTATTGAGACATAATATTGACTAAAAAATATTAGGTGAGAAATTCATAATTTATTTAACTATTCATATTTTATTTAATTGTTTTTTATTTATATGTTTTTATTATTATCATGAAATACACACAATTTAATAGTGAAATTTTCATGTAACGTAGCTCATGAGTATTTAGGGGTTGTTCCACCTAACAATGCAATTAAAGGATTTGTCGTAAAATTGTCATGATTAGATAAGACATTCAATAACGTCGATGATTATAACAATGATGTTGAATACTTGCACCACATGACAAGAGGATGGATAATAAGATATATTGGAGGTGTTATATTTATTGATAGAAGTTTCAGTTGAGTAAATTTGAGGTGATTACTTTATTTACGTGATTTTGATGCTTTTATCATACTGAACATTATCGATATCGCTTAATTTCATGACTTCATATTTTCTTTCAACTAAAAAATGATATTGTACACATAATATAACTTGGTCATCTCTAAGACAAAATTTGTTGCGAATAATTTTTTTAAAGCCATACAAAAATATACCGCATTTAATATACATTTATTTCTTTGGACCCTTAAATATAACACCTTCTGGATCTTCCAAAATTTCAATATAAATAAAAACTTAAATTTTATCCATAATAATATCATAATAATATATCTACAAAATAAAATAACAACTATAAAAAAAATTAAAACTATCAATAATAATTAATTTAAAAAAATTATCATACAATTACCACTCAGTCTTAGAAACAAACTTCGGCAAGTTTCTTAAAGTGCTGTGTATGAGCTACACAAAAGTTATATAAAGAGGATTGTGGATACAGGTACAAGAAATTAAAAAATAAAAATAAAATAAAATAAACAAATTCCTCTAATGGGAATAGAGGCACTACATAATGTAAAATAAAAAATAAAAATAAAAAAGAGTAGTCAATCTATTGGAAATAAAGGTACTAGATAACAATAAATAAATAAAAAGTAGTCCTTTTACTAAGAATAAAGACAATAGATAATTAAAAGAAATAAATAAAACAAACCCTTCTATACGAAATATAAAAATATTTAAGTTGATACCATCATGGAGAACGTCGAAACTTGTTTTATTTTTTTTTTATGTCTCTATCTTTGGTAGAGACACTTATTTTTTTTTATTTTTTTTTTAATATATGGGTGTTGTTTTACAGAGTACGACACATGATGATCTTTTGCTTTGAGGTCCATGTAACTACAATTGGTGCATGTAATTTACAGTAAGTAAAAAAATATTAATTTTAATAAATAAGTAATAATTTATTAAATCAAAAATATTTTATAATATTTTTTAAGTTTTAAATTATAATATTAGTATTATTTTATGTCATTTATTTTTTCAAAAAATTATTTAATTACTACATATTTAATTATAAATATAAAATCTATAAATCTATAATCATCTATATAATTTAACATAACCAATTTAAATAATACAAAACATAAATTATTAATTCAAGTAAATTATTAGATATATTTGCATTTTTTAGTTTTATTTAAATTAGTATATGATTTATTAGTTAAGTTATAAAATAAATTAAATTAACCAATTACATTTATTTAAATTAGTTTATGATGACACATGCCTCTATGTGGACAAATACATATACATGGTGACATATACCTCTTTTGCGGACGTCATATGTGGTTGGTTTATGTGGCACGCATTCCTCTACTGCGTATAGGGGCATCTAGCTCATTTCTCATGCTTCTATTGTAGGTAGTAATATATACTATCAAAATAATTTAAACTAGTGTCCCTATGAGAGACAACAATACTAATTTAAAAAAACAAAAAAATTTGTCTCTTTGTGATGTAATATGACTTGAACAAATTTAAAATTTATCAAGTGACGTTAAAATCGAATACGTAAAAAATAACTTATAAACGATTTTAATGACAATAAAATGAGGTCACGTATATCATTATAAACCATCTTAAAAATAAATATGTGACATAAGGTGACATTGTGTTGATCAACACTACCCACATCGATCACCTCCAAATGAAAATATGTTTAAAAATAATCTCAATCTTATA